TTTAAACTGTGACCTAACCTTGACCTTTAAAGCTCCTATTGCTAAGTTTTTTGGATTTCAAGGTAAGGACTGTAACACCCCCCTCCCCCCAGGTCTATCTTCAGAAATTGTGACCTTGACTTTGGCCTTGGAAACATTTTAATCCCCTATTGCAAATCTACATGTCGCATCTGGGATTGTATAACTATGTCAAATGTCTGACACAATGTCTGAAAATTTCTTAGCCTTTTGAATTCCGAAAATAAATATCAGCACAAAAGAAACATGTCAATGTTTGCAACTTATATTGGTATTTTGATGTCAAAATATTCATTCAAGACACAGAAATACAGACAGAGATGATGATTATAAATTAAAACTGAAAGAGGTAGTTTATGTCGGGGGGGGGGGGGGGGCCCGGTTTAAAGGGTGTAGGCCAAATGAGGTAAACATAGTACCCAGTACGCTAAATGGGGTTGTTAGGAGGGAGTGGGGTTAAAGGGTGTAGGCCAAATGAGGTAAACATAGTACCCAGTACGCTAAATGGGGTTGTTAGGAGGGAGTGGGGTTAAAGGGTGTAGGCCAAATGAAGGAAACATAGTAACCAGTACGCTAAATTGGGTAGTTAGGAGGGAGTGGGTTTAAAGGGTGTAGGCCAAATGAGGTAAACATAGTACCGAGTACGCTAAATGGAGTAGTTAGGGAAGAGGGACACAGAATACAAGGGACCAATAAAGAGAGTGATGGGGTGTACATGTTCATCCATTGGAATTAAGGTACAGAAATTTGGCTAAATGGGGTCATTTATCGTGGGGATGAAGATCGCGAACCAAAAGAGATTAGTTGCTCTATGTTGATATGAAGTATTCAGTTACACCCTGCATCGCCCTATCCCCTCTTTAGACCTACCCCACTAAAAACATAAAACAAAATCTCGCTAGTTTTTGCGAAGATAACGTGGAGATAAAAGGAAAGCATGCGGATGCAATACATTTCCACAGATAAAGGCAAATAACTCGTATTATCTATGAATACTTTAAACGCTACAGTTGAAAAGTGGATACATTGTACTTATAATTACTTGCCTTATATCGGCGACGTTCTGTTTTTAAATCAAGCACTTCATACAGTACACATTGTGACTTAGTACTACGCATGCGACACGTGCGCATGCTTTACCCGCCTTTAGTTTCAAACGTCTACCTTACCATCACAGGGACCCGAGAATATGCTACAGTTGGTATATATGTAACAAAATGTTGGCCAATTGGGATGGCATTTTCACCGAGAGTTGATTTAAACCCCTGAAACGTCTTATGTCACCCTCTACACATCAGGCTAGGTCCCGTAATATACCTAATCAACTAATTTTTCGAGCCACAGATAAGTACACTTTAAAAAGACAATATAAAAAATACCACTTGTTCTGCTCAATGTTGATGTAAAATACGCCTGTCCACTACCCAGAGTACGAGCGATTGGAGAAGAAACAAAAATAAAGATACCGGGAAAACTGGAGTGTGGAGAAAGATTCTGGCACTGAATTCGAAGCATTGTACGTATTCTTAAAAGCATAATATCGTTGCGAAATGGTGCCACAAAACTACTGTCAAATGTTGTGAGTGTAATGACTTCGGTTTACCACGGACTTAGATTAGTGGGTTTACACTGCTCATGTGATAAATGCTTTTAATACCAGTTATTTTAAATTATTTCTCTTTTGTTCTCAATATAATGTAACTGTTGCGTGTTTTCCTGTATACGTATCATAAAGGACAGGATTGCCTTCTATTTTACAATTTCTTCCTTGTCCCACATATATACACAAACATGTCAGTACGAAGACATGTCGTGTACACATTATTAGAAAGCCTATATTTAACATGTATAACGTATACAATTGTCCGGAAAATGCAACTACCTTGCTCAAATCCAACAGTTCAAAACATACATTAATTTTGTCTGTAGCTTAAATCTAACATTTTACATGACAAAAAGATATACACATATTTTTCACAAAGCTCAGTATGTTTAAATTTAGCGTCCCTGATGTCGTGTCAGAAGGTCATGTCCACAACATAACGCTTATATATCAATATCATATATCCTTTTATTTACTATACACGGCAGCACGACACATCAACTGGGCCGTTTTCGTTTGTTCGTTTATTAAATAAGATCGGACCTAGTAATCTGATGCTGCTTTCATTTATAGGTCCGCCAGGATTAATACCTGAAATTGTTACATTTATAAACAGTTCCGCTTAAACGAACAGGCCCCTGGTGTCACTATTCTGACAACGACCGCCAATAGTGGATTAGCTTCCTCTTTTCTGTGTCCAAAGAAGAGAGCAGAAAATGAAATTACTGATCTTACAGATAGTCACATTGCAGGCGTTTATTGGCTAAAGAACAAGAAGGAGAATAAAAAGAGTAGGCCTACCAGGGTTTCAACAAAACCGTAATTCGAACTCAAAGTCGATAAAACTAGGGCAAACTATGTAAAACTAGGGCAAACTACAATTTATGTAAAACTATAAGGGCAAACTATGTAAAACTAGGGCAAACTATGTGAAAGAAACATTAACACGAGGACTTTTGAAATTGTGCAAGGAAAATAACCAGATGTTCCGGAAGGGTAGTCGTTTTCTTTTTCGTCGACAGCAGCTACCATGGAAATCTCAGAAACATGTCACGTCTTCAAAACTAGAACCGGACGGTGATAACAAAACAACAAGGCCAATTATGAGAGTAAAATCGAACATGTTCGGCCAACCGCATCTCACGGAACCCTATGTTGTAACACGGACTTGGATAATCTAATTCCGTGGTTGTAACTATCAAATAGATTTTTTTCCCCAAGCAAGCTATTGCATACTGAATTCACGGATGGGGAACTTGACAGTTATATGTTACTCTGAAGAAAGGGAATGTTTACCGTACTGTACATAATAAATAAGCCTTAAAATGGAGGGGGCGGAATGAGCACGGGGAGGGGAATGGGGATAAGAGGAAAGTAGGCATGTGCATTCCTTTTCTGAGTACTGATTATATATATATAGTAGTTGTATTTTATAGTATAATGTAAATCAATTGCTCTTAACCAGTATAATTGCTTTTTTTTTGTTTTTTGTTTTTACTATACCTATACACAGAGACGTACATATTATATACGGGTCTCTGCTATATGTTAATGTGTAACAATTAACTTAAGTATTTGAGCACATACAATAAATCCCATCCAACAGGACAATAATAAGAAATAACATGTTTCGGGTGGTCTGGTGCACGTGGTGCAGTGGGTAGCGCACTTGCCTTTCACGAAGGCGGCCGGGGTTCGGACGTGAAAAGGTCTGGGGTTACGTGCACCTGTGGGGTCACCTGCCCGACTACGCGAGTTTTCTCCGGGTATTCCGGTTTGCTCCCACAATAAGACCCCTGCGCGCTAACATCCGGGCCAACAAGAGTGATTAATATAAGATGAAATAACTTGTTGTAAAATAAATTAAAGTTTATATTTAAATAACATGTTTGTGTGAATAAAAACACACATTTTAAATTTCACAAATGGGAACGAAATCTATTCTCAAATACGTAAACTTACTTACCGTAGAACTTACCAGAATTTTAAAAACATGCTATATGGCATAGTGCTAAAAAGATTGTTCATGTCAATTCAGCTAGAATTTGGTCAATGATCTTTTATTTAGTAGCAAAACAGAACGAAAAGGCAAAAGCAAGAAAAGGTACGATGCATCCCGAAAACCGGATGCTTGTTTCGAGCCTTCTCGGAAAAACCTATTTCCGCTTTCATTTTAATTAATATTTTTATCCCTATCACATGACAGCTAAGGGTTAAAACTTTCAATTAGCTATTTTTAAATTCTGCGTATGTATGATGTGACGAAATTATATATCACATTATTCTAATGTTTTGTATTTCTGAAAAACGCGTGCCCAGCATACAGATGAATGATACATTTGTGTAACAGACCACTATCTACCCTGATTATGGGATAATATTTCAGGTAATGATGATCATCAGAGCGAAACTGTTAACAAATATAATCGAGGCGTGTGACAGTTAATGAATAAAATGTTTCCCAATATATTTCCTGGCAATTTCTCTACCGTACCGAGTCCAGGGTCACCAAGATGGGGCTCTGT